TGTCATTTTCTTTTCTTTATTTTTGTTTGAGAAAAAAATGAGTACATTTGTCTTGCCTTTTACACAGGACTAATATAAACAACAGCATATTTCACATTCAGAAAAAAGTAAATTTACCTGCTGTACAAAAGTATTTTTGCCATTTTCCAACACCTTTCCCTTTTTTCCCCTTCATAGCACTCTAATCCTGGGCATGCTGGGCCCTTCCCTGTGGCGTCGCTACACAACATTAGTGCTGCCAACCCCACCAGTCCCACCAGTGCCAGTATGGCCAATGCCCACATTCACCGTGGCCCCACTAGTCCTGTTGTCGCCCCCATAGAGCTCATACCATCAGTCACTAACCCCGAAAACTTGCCCTGCCTGCCTGACATCCCTCCCATTCAGGTAACTTTACTATTCGCATTTTCTTAGACTGAATGTCAGATGATTAGATGTTGTGGCATGATTTAGTGGTTATAGATCTGGCCTGGTAACCCAAAGGTTGTAAGTTCAAACCCCAGAAAGCATGATCATGAGGATACAAATCTAATAATTGGGTGGAAATGTAATAAAGGATCTAAACATAATTACGTTAAGGCAACGAGACAAAGACAATCCCTATGCTTGGATCTTCAATTATTGTTCTTCACATAACAGACGCTTCCTTAACTGAAGCAAAATGAAACAAAGCTGAACTGATTTAGAGCTCACGTGTTGCAAAACCAATTTTTGTTTGTGTAATTTTCAGCTTGAAGATGCCGGCTCGAGCACACTGGATAACATACTCAGTCGATATATTTCTGCTAGTTCATATCTTGCTGTTGGCCCCACCAATCCCTCACCGGGACCTTCTACACATTCCCCAGGATCATCAGGTACTTTCTTGGTGAATTTTTGACATGAATTGTTTGGCTTCCAAATGTTCATATCAGTTAGCAAGCATTTAAATAATGCCAAGAAATATTCATGCAGATTAGCATTTGGCATGTACAATATTTATATGCTTAAATATGCCATACTCTCAGTGCTGTATGCATAAACTCCTGCCCAACTGACCCGTGTTCCAAGGCTGTGCTAGCTGCCTGGCACCATTGATGCCTGCTCAGTGCCTCTGGTTCCGTATGGCAAAGTCCCCCATCCAACCATGTGCATCAACCCTGGGGCTCAGGCTGCATTAGCCCCCTAGCATTAGTGCCATATGCTGCTTCACCCCACAAACTCATGTGCCAATATATATATGCATTTCACCATTATTAATGTCCTGATCACAATTATTTGAAATGACCATGATTGCTGTGCACCAGAATTGTTATTGTTAACTAAAACTATTGAAAATCATTTTCAGTAATTGAAGTAAAATAACATAATTATTGGATGAAAAAAAAACTGAAATAAGTTTAAGTAGAAGTAAAAAAAAA